ACAAAGGGGGAATGAATGGTGACAGTGAGGGGTAAAGCTGGCCTAAACTCTAGTGAAGATCTAGTACTGTGCAGCGGCACTAGAGTACTCTCCCAGTACCGAATGAGAAGAGGCATCAGTCCCGAGGATGACCGCCTTTCTGCCGCCCGCCTTCTCCAACTTAGAGTTGATAGCGCTTAATGAGAACGCATATAAACAAAGTCATTGCCACAGATCATTGATTTTTTATGTAACCTTTGTTCTCAGATAAGGGAGTTCAGAGGACAACCTTGAAAGTAGAGAAGAGGGGAAGTGTGGCAGGTGGCTTTAGCAGCCTCACAAAGTGTTCTGGTTTTCATCTATTTGAAAGCGAGTGACATTTCATCCAGTGGCTGTGAAGTCACCCATCTTATAGATAAATCTGAATACTAAAAATCAGACATTTGCAAATTATACCTACTAGGCTATGTAGTTTGAAAACCAAGAGTAGGGAGGAATGCAACGCTACATCATTAGGCATTATTGATAGACTTGCAATGAGAATAAATAATACTTCATAAAGTTTGAAATTAGCATCACTAAGAGAATCACCACAAACAACTCGTTAATTATTATTGGCAGATTTTTTTAAAATCTTACCTCATTCTTTATATATAAAAGGAATAATAATTTGATGATTATTTTTCCATTATCTCACATGTAAAACATAGCTCCCTTGGGGGGCTGTTAAGTGGATTCAATGAAATATAAAATATGTAAAACTTTATACAAAGCACTTTTCCACAACTATCTCAAATTATTACCCGTATATATGCAAACAAGGATCACAATAGTTGACTAATAACTATGCCCTAGGCATAGACCTTAAAACAGATTACTAGTTTCTGAGTAGCTGCGTTAGAATTTGGTCCAAGTCTGCTAGACTCTAAAACTGGGCCTCTTGGCTCCCACAAAACTGCTCTCTGTCAAGCACCTGTGCACGGAAGTGGGAATCAGAAATGAAAGGCCTAATGCCTGCCCAGAAGGTTTACACAGTTTAATGGTGGAGAGAAACAGGTCTTCCTATTCATTTCCAAAAAGAAGAAAATTAGTATCTCTTATTTTTGGGAGACAGATGTGGGTACATTGCTTCACAGCTTTGTCTATTCTCTCACAGAACCCAATAGAACATGTTTAAAACAAAATTAACAGCTTTTCTTTTTTTGTAAGGCTGTGTGCTGCAGGTGTCCAGTAGGGTGGTTTTTGTTTCTTTGCCTTTTGTTCTTCATATGTTGCCATGTTTTATTCTTGGTTACAAATTCGGTAATTAAAAACCACCCAATGTCTATTAAAGTGGAATGCTATTAAAAGCGAAACTTCAGGTTCAGAAAAAACACATTTGTCCTCTGGAGCTTTTAATGAGGACTTAGACCAGGCACAGTGCTGAGCAGTTTACTCATCTTGACTCATTTAATACTGATAACAACCCCATGATGTATGCAGTATATTATTGTTATTATACTCATGAGGGAAATATGATGTATAGGGCAACAGACAGATCTCCCCTCCAAATAGTTTGAAAATGGGGAAATACGTTTTCTATCTAGAAAGTCACCCTAAAGAGACAAAACAGCTTCCTTGACAAGCCCCGACTGTATCAAGTTGAATATATTAACATATCTAAAGAAAGAATTTCCGGGAAGAAAAATGAAAAAAAATCAAAACAATATATACCTAATTTCTGACCAGGAGGCAATAAATCTAGCAATAAAACAAAATAAAAACACATATGCACAAATATCCCCCAACTACTTGAAAACTAAAAAAAAATCTCTCCCTCAAACTTTTTGATTAAAAAGAAAATCAAATATACTGAAGAATATTAATAAATATTAACATTAATAAAAATAAGTTAAAATAAAATCCCTATACATCAAAACCAGGAAATACGACAAATTTAATGCTTAGAGAATTTGACTCAGGAAAATTCATAGCCTTAATTCAATCAACCAGTATGTAAGAAATACCTGCTGTAGGAAGCCTGTTGAAGCTGGAACAGTTTATAAAGTGACCCTCAACAAATTCCAGAGCTGGATTTAATCCTAAACTTTTAATTTATATAACTTAATAAATTTCTTTTTTTTTTTTTTTAAGTCACTTTGAATTGATTTTCTCTCATTTAGGATGAAAGAGCTTTTAAAGAATAGAGGGTCCCTTTTGCAACACTTTCTTCCTTTGTTTTATCCACCTGGAGCCAGGTGAAAACTGGGGAGTAGACGAGGTGTTGGGGAGGGATGTTCTTGGGTAGCCCTACAGAAAGGAGAACCTGAAAATTTTCAACTTTGGCTGTGGGGAGACAAAGATAGTTTCTGCATTCCTGGGAAGCTCCTACACCTGGCTGGAGCAACTTTTTGGATGAGACCATTTATACATATATGAGAATTATATATTTCTTTTGGAGAATACATATATGAGAATTATATATTTCTTTTGTTGTTATAAATATCTCAAACACTCAAGGCTGTGTTTAAACAAGTTTTCTTAAGGCCAAACTGTATTTTCTATATTTGGGTTCTAAGACACTCTCCTATAACCATTCAATAAGCCTTCTTCATGGTTTTTGAATGGGTTTCTGTTCCTTGTAATCAATCCCTGACAGAAGTACAAGGCTTGGCCCATCCCCTCACAGAGATTTTTCCATGCTTAAACAAATGAATTAATATCAACTATACTATTAACTATATGCTCTTGTCGAGGAAAGAGGCAGAAGAGTTTGTACAACTTACTGAGCATAACTGAGCCTTAATTTCCTCACCTATAGTATGCGATTAAGAATATCTCCTTTGCAGAGTTGTTGTAATTTGTTTGAGACAGTGGCTGCAGAGGCTGGCATGGTTTTTGGCACTGTGTGGGCACACAGACAATGGTAGTGGGGATTAGGGAGGAACACTTGGGTGAGAACAGGAGTGAGGCTATAGAGCAGAGGTCCCCAAATTTATACATTTGCATCATGGGAGGCATTTTAAAAATTAAGATTTAGAACTGTATCCTGAAACTACTAAATCAGAATCTTTGGAGGTGCAGGGCTAGAAATGTGACTTCTAACAAGCATCCCTGGATTATGTCACCTAGTTAATCCAAGCCTAGTCTGACTAGTGTACAAGAACTACCAGAAAAGAGGGTGAGGCAAGGTCTGTGTGAGAAGAGAGCAGGCCAGAGGAACGGTCAAATGGTAAGAATCAGGGGGTACAACACTGAATCACCTGTGGTATTTATTTCTATTACTTGCTTTTTGTGCTTTACTCTTTTGTGCTGTCTGCTCTGCTGTTTAAAGCTTATGCTCACTTGTTTTTTAAAAAGTGCACTTTTAAGAAGATTTAGGGCAAATGAATAATATGCTGTACCAATGTATAGAAAACATGCTGTACCAGTGTATAGGAAAATATTCATGTAGGAGACTATAATTAAAACAAATAAAAACAACAAGCAAATAAAACTCAACTTTTACCTGTTATTCATATATCAAAATATTCAAATGAAAATGGAGGCCAATTAAAAATATCATGATCATCATAAATGATATAAATAGCTGATACTAAATTCCCCATTGTGGATAGCACCTGTGGAAGATCTGCTATAGTCATCCAGGCACTGCTTCAAGTAACCATTATCATGATCCCTGTCTTGCTCATTGGGAAACCAAAGCATAGAAAGTTTAGGTAATTATCCTAAGGTCGCATGGCTAATAAATGGCAGAGGTCAGATGTGAACCTTGTGCTCTTGGTCACTATGCTCATCTCCCTTTCAGTATAAAAGCTAAAGCGCTGTCAAGAAAGGCTGGCAATAGGATTTCTACCCTGGTATGGGAGGCTGTCGAAAGAACAGTTGAGGCTGACGAAAGAACATAGATTGCTTCAGGTGTGGCTGAGCATAGCTGAGAGTAACTTGCTGTCTCCATTATAAAGATGGTTATTGAAATTAAAGAAATTTCATGTTGTGTTTAGGTTCACAAATGTTCAGAACATTATACATGACCATAAAGTGAAAGGAAGCAGAGGGAAGTGTCGTCTCAAACGCCAGAAGTTAGGTGGAGTGGAGTGTATGAAAGAGGATTCTACACACACAAGGAAAAGAGAATGGGCCAGCTAGAGTCCACGTCTTCAGTGATCAACAAGGTACTCTGATGAAATTTTTTTTTCATGCAGTTATCTAAAACAAGGGTTGACAAATGACAGCTCACCTTCCAAATTAGGTTCCTCAACTTTTTTCTAAGTTAAGTTCTGTTGGAACAAAAGCACACTCATTATCTATGACTGCTTTCATACTACAATGTCATGACTGAGGAACTGCAACAGACACTGTGTGGCCCAGACCTCTCCTCTAAAACATATTTCACAAATTTAGGTTTAACATTTAAATCTTTAAAGAGATAAAATCAGGCTCGATCCACATCTAAGAGCCCTTATTTCCTTGGATCATGAGTGTCAGAAGACATGGAGAGGTGAAACTACTTGAGAAAGAACCAACTATAAGGGAATTCAGTTAAACCAGGATCTTTAATTTATAAGGTCAATTACTCCTCCAGAGATTGAAATCTGTTAACTAGTTGTATTTATAAATATTCCAATTACATTTATAAATATTCCAGCTCAGAGAACACTGTATTGCACCTGAATAAGCAAAAGTTCAAAGTGATTGTGACATAGTT